TGGGCGCGCTGGACCGGCGCTGCTCCCGGGGGTGCCGGGCGTCGTCCTCCTCCTCGTCCCTCTCCTCCGCCTCCTCTTCCTGCTCTTTCTCCTCTTCTTCCTCCTCCTTCCAGGAATCCCGGCCGTCCTCGGCCCTCTCCTTCCAAGGATCCCGGCCGTGTTCGTCCTCCTCCCGCTCCTCCACCTTCTGGGGATCCCGGGCTGCCCTCTTCTGCGTCGGTCGCGACCTCGCGGGCGGACCGCACTTTCCCGAGCGAGATCCCCCGAACTGTCTGCTCCGTCTTTTGGCGTCGCGAGCCCATGTCCAGAGCGCTCTGCGTACGGAGGAAGAGCTCACTTCGCGGAAAGGCGCGGGAGAGAGAACTGGCAGTGACGCCTGAAATGAAACTTAGAAACTGGCGCGCAAGGAATGGGCCAGGGACGGAGCCCGAAACCACGCCCCCCGGGAAGCACCTTTGAGGGAGGAGCCTTGGGCCACGCCCCGGGGAGGAGCCACCCGGTGTCACGCCCACGCAGGGAGGAGCAACCGCTAACTCGCCCCCCCATGCCACCTAAAATGATTGTGGAAAACATACTCTTGCATATTTGAAGTTTTTCAGTATATGTGCTGCCGAAGTGAGCAGTGAGAAAGTTTTTCAGTGTACACTTAAGTAAGGGTATTTTGCTTTTAATGAGAAGTAGAAATACTCAATCTTCACATGATAGAATAAGACGAGGCTTGACGTATTAGAATCTGTATTTCATTTTATTTGACCTTTTAAAAACACACAACCTCTCAACTAGTCTAGAGTTCCTATCTAGAGAGTTGTCGTTCTGTGTTTTGCACTGTTGAGACTCAAACCCAGTGTCTCAAGCGGGCCAGGCAAGCACTCTACATTTTTTAGAACGATGGCCCCAGGCCCATCTGTGAAATTGATCCAATGATTGGGCTAAAGCTCGTCAAAAGGCCGAATTTAAGAGTTCAAGTCATCCATACTGCTGGGTACAGTGGCACACACCTGTAATCCCAGCACACTGGAGGCTGAGGCAGGAGGATTGAGGGTTTCAGCCCAGCCCCAGCAACTTTTTGACTTAGTGAGACCCTCTATCAAAACAATCAGGCACCGCATCTCAATGCAGGCTTTCAATTATCTTTTTTGGGGGGCAGGGTCTTGAGATGTAGTTCAGGCTGGCCTTCAACTCACTGTGTAGCACAGGCTGGCTTCGACTGATTCTCCTGCCTCAGCTTTCCTAAGTGCTGAGATTACAGGCATACACCATCACACCTCTTGTGTTTTTTGTTTGTTTATTTGTTTGTTTTTTAGAGTCTCACTATGTACTTGAGACTGACCTGGAACTTACTGTGTAGCCCAGGCTGGTCTCGAATTCACAGCGATCCTCCTGCCTCAGCCTCCCCTGGGATTACAGGTGTGCGCCACCACGCCCGGCTGGCTTGGTAACTTTTTAAAGCACCGATTTAACCGTATAAAGTGTACAGTGCAATGACAGGTGCACTGGTGTGAACCATCTCCACCACCTATCTCCAGAGCTCTTCATCTTGAACAACTGAAACTCTACCATAAATAATTGTCTTCCCAGGCCCTGGCAATCACTACTCTATTTTTCAGTTATTTTTGCTACATACTTTTAAGTTGGTGAAATTATACAAGTATTTGTCTTTTTATGACTAGTGTATTTCACATAGCCAAAGTTCATCCATGTTGTAATATATGTGAGAATTTCTTTTCTTTTTTAATCCAGAACAATATCCCACTGCGTGTATATACAGCACTTGCATGTTGTTTACCCCTTTACCTGTCAGCGGACAAAAATGCCTTCACTATATTATTTCTTTTCTTTCTTTTTTTTTCACAATATGAAAAATGATTTTTTTCTCATTGAGTTTATTGGTACATCTTAGGTATACAGCACAGTGACATTCATCATTGGGATCTTGTACCTTTACATGACAGGTCTAGGTTCTCATTTTTTTGCTTATTTCTTTTCTTTCTTACTTTTTTTTAAACTTTTCTCTGCTTCTTTTGTTCTTTCCAAGTCCCAGAAGGTGAGCCCCATGGACTGAGCCTCTCTGAATGTCACATTGCCCAAAATGATCACAATAAAAACTCGGAGAGGGAGGCAGCCACGGATCTTTTATAGAGAGGAAGAAAGCCAAAGTGATCCGGTATGAGATGGTGGAGTCAGGAAGCCATATCCCAGCACAACCCCACAGCCTGCCCTTCATCCCCAGCCTCGATCACAGCATTACAGGTTGGTACACAATAACAGTAGCATTAGGATATGTCTTAGTTACTTTTGTTGTTGCAGAGACAAAATAACTGAAACCCACAATTAAAGGAGGAAAGCTTTCTTTTGGCTCACAGTTTGTAGAGGTTTCAGTCCATACCTGGCTCCAAGGCAGGTTGGCATGGCAAGGGGCACTGCAGAGAAACACTGCATAGCAGATGAAGGAGCTCAGCAAAGCAATGAAGGAGCTCAGCAGCAGCAAGCAGCAAGCTAGGACCACAACAGCCCTCTTCCTGTCCCTTATATTATACCCAGGCTATTCCCTTAGGGTAGGAAGCACTCACACCCAGGGTGGGGCATTGTCAATCCCCCCAGAACTGTGGCAAACCAGTCCGTAGACATCTTCTTAGTAATTCTTGGCTGAGGCTTGGTGCGCAGGCTGAGAATACACCCTTGATCACAGGATCACAGTCTAGACCCAGCCACCTATGACCACATGAGGCTTTGGGGGGACATCTAGACCCAAGCCACAACGGTGCATAAAAAAGATGCGGCACCAGCAGCAAAATGCTGACTGTGGTTGAGATAAGGATGGAAGACTTGGTGAAAGATAGGATTCTTTTTTTTTTTTGGATTCTTGTTTTTGTTTGTTTTTTGGTTTTTGAGACAGGGTCTCACTGTGTAGTTGAGACTGACCTGGAACTTACTATGTAGCCCAGGCTGATCTCGAACTCACAGCGATCCTCCTGCCTCAGCCTCCCGAGGGCTGGGATTACAGGGGTGCGCCACC